AATCAGGAATTACTCTATGCAAATGCAAGCCTAGGCTCGTGAACGCGAAGGCCAAGGGGGTGAGGTCACCGCGAATGCGGAGTGTATCTCACGAACGCAAAGGCCATTTGGGCCACTGTGCATCACGGTCGCGTTAGGTGTTTCGCGAACGCGAAGAACACCTGTCGCCCAGTGATTTAAACTTCTAAAAATTAGGGTTTTCCTCAATTTTCACCATTTTCAAGTTTGAGCTCGGCCTAGAGGCGATTTTCATGTTTCCTCAACTTGTTTCCTTACATTTCCAGAAACACCCATTGGTTTTTAACCTTTAATCTATGCTCTTTTATGGTAGAAATTAGGGATTTTGAGAAATTGAGATTTAGACCTCAAATTGAGGTCGAGATTTTGAAACTAATTACATAACCGGGCTCGGGGGTTAACGGGCAATTGGGTTTTGGTCCGAATCTCGAATTTTGACCAAGCGAGCCCGGGGTTGACTTTTATTGACTTTTTCAAAATCATTAAAGATTGAATTTTTTTTACTCGTGTGTAGTTGCTAAAGCCAATTTTGAATTATTTATACTATATTTGGTTAGATTTGATTGGTTTGGAGGCTAATTCTAGAGAAAAATCCACGGTTGAGCATTGATTTGGTTCTGGAGTGAGGTAAGTATCGTGGTTAACCTTGACTTGAGGGATTAGGAGTTGTTGGTTTATTTTCTACGTGAATTGTGCGTGGGAATGACGTATATGTAAGGTGACGAGTACATATGCGTTGTTATTGGGTTAAAACATGCGGGTGGAAACTATTTCTTTGCTCTAAGTTGTTTATTTGACTTGGTTTCTCCATGCTTAAGTTATTACTTTTAATTATTTGTCTCATATTTATTGTTTATTTTGAAGATGTTGGGAATTTTTGAAAATTGAGTTTGATATCCTGGCACTATAATTGAAGTGAAATTGTTTTCCGCCTTGTATTTATTATTATTATTGGATTTGTTTTGTTGATTTGGTGAGGAAGAGTGAAAAGCACGATGGGTGTTTCCGTGCCTTATTTGCATTCTTTAGCATATATTGAGAGATGTTGGGAGTAAAAGCACGAAGGGTGATGCTGTGCCGGTGAGAAAAAGCACGAATGGTGATGCCGTGCCATTTCATTTATGATATTACATGGTGAGGACGAGCGTAAAACCACGAAGGGTGATGCCGTGCCATCTTCATTTCAGTGCCTTATTTGATTTCCCATTTTGGTGATTTACTTGGTTATATTATTGCTTATTTCGGAAGTTATTATTTTGTGATTTCGTACTTGCCGTTTTTATGACCCCCCTCTCGCATGTCCCCTCCCATTTAAAATTTTATCGTTCTACTTGTTATTTTGCTGCTTTATATATATTTGTAGGGTTTTTACATAGGTGTCTTGTCATAGCCTCATCGCAACCTCGTCGAGGTTAGGCTCGGCATTTACGGAGTACATCGGATCGGTTGTACTCATGCTACACTTCTGCACTTCTTGTGTAAATACTGGTATTGGTTCCAACGGTGCTTAGAGGTGCGTCTGCTCGGATCACATTGCTTCAGAGACTTGAGGTAGATCTGTTGGCGTTTGCAGACCTTGAAGTCCCCTTCCATTTCCTATTTTTACCGTTTATCTTAGTCGATCAATTGTATTTATTTCAAACTATACTTGTACACTTCTAGTTGCTCTTGTACTTGTGACATAAGACTTCAGGGGTTGAGTTAGACAGCATTATGTTATGGGTTTATTTCATGTATTTCAGCTGTTTTCTTTTTGCTAATAGCTTTAATCTTTGTTAATAATTGTTATTATTCTATTTCGGACTGCTTAATTATTAAATTATTTAACTAATGCTGGCTTGCCTAGCAAATGGACGTTAGGCGCTATCACGACCCCGAGGTTGGGATTCGGGATCGTGACAAGTTGCTATCAGAGCACTAGGTTGCTTAGGTCTCATGGGTCATGAGCAAGCCTAGTAGTGTCTGAAGGATCGGTACAGAGACATCTGTATTTTTCTTCTAGAGGCTATGGAATTTTAGGAAAATTTAACTTCTTTCTTTCCCTATCGTGCGATTTTACTATATTATTGATGTTTGAATCATTCCATTCTTGTTCTCTCGCAGATGGTGAGAAAACGTACAATATCTACAACCGAACAAGAGCCGGAGCCCCCTACTGCAGCCACTAATAGGGGTAGAGGCCAGGGCCGAGGTCGAGCCAGAGGCCGAGGCAGAGGAAGAGCTCGACCTAGAGCTGGTGTAGCAACACCCACTATGGAGCCTCAGATTGATCACGAGGAGATCTCAGCTCATACTGCACCAGTCGGACCCGCTTAGGTCCTAGAGGGACATATAGCCACTCCTGTGCTTCAGGACGTTCTAGTCCGTTTAGTGGGCTGTATGGAGAGTGTGGCCTATACTGGTGCATTTTTTGTGGCACTAGCCATCTCTCAGGCTGCGGGAGGAGCATAGACTCTCGCTACTCATACTCCGTAGTAGATGGCTCCCATATATCAGACTCTAGCAGTCCAGCCAGCTGGGGTAGTTCAGCCTGTTGTTCCTACGCAGACTGAGGAGAAGTGCGTGATGTCTTCTGAGGGATTGATGAGGTTGGATAAGTTCAGAAATCTCTTCTCTATTCACTTCGACGGTGCACCTTCTGAGGACCCACAAGATTATTTAGACAATTGCTACGAGGTGATGAACAACATGGGTATTGTTGAGTCTAATGGAGTAGACTTTGTGGTGTTTCAGACGACCGGTTTGG